TGAGGGAGGTAACTAGTATGAAAATTGAAAGTTGAGGGAGGATAGTAGTGTATTTTGAGAGAGTAGAGGGAGGTCTTTGAACGATTTAAAGTGCAGGGAGGACAATGAACGAAAAATGAAAGTAGAGGGACTATAGTTAGCTTTAACCCTTGTAATTTATTCTCGCAGTTATGACTTGCTCTTGTCTTCTGCATGCTAGTCCTTGATTTGCGAGAGCACTCTTCATGGTTTGTTTTTTCCTTTTATGTATTTTACTTCTTTTTTTTTTTCCCTTTTAGAATAGATAAGCTAGATTTACTTCTTTGTCCATAGGTTGGTTACTTGAATTGAAATAACAAACTGAGTGGTTGCGAAGTAAGTAATTATGTTCATCACGTAAGTGGTGCCATTTTATTCATCATAGATAGACATGAAAAGTGGCTTTTGTTTTGGACATGAATCTGTTCTTCCATTCATAATATCTATTTTGTATAGTGTTTCTGTTGCTTCTATTTCTGTTTGGCATTTTTTTGACCATTCCTACACTAGTTATTTATGGAATGTTTGAGGCTTTTTCGGATCTTTAACATCCGCAGCTGGGCCATTGCATGAAACAGTATGGTGAATTTTCATGGTTAAACTTTAAAGTGGGTCAATCACATCACATATGAAACAATTTAAATTGATTTCCCCGTCTTCTTACATCCTCAATTAATGCTGTCTGATTTTCATTTCAATGTCTTTTGCTTTTCATCAGATCATGTATGACAGTATTTCTTCTGCATCATTCATGCTTCTGCTTCATTTATCTTATGAACATGATGTCTACTTGTTAATCACCTATAGTTGGTTGGTTGCCTATAGGACTGATGGTCTTGTATTAATTGTAGCAGTTAGGCGATTGATATTTCCCTTTCTTCATGGTAGGTCCATCACTATGAAGAGTCATATAGCACATACTCCAAGTGTCGAAATAATGAGAATAGACAAATGAGGTGCCTGTGAGAAATTTAATTTAAATAATTTTACAACTCGTAATGCATGCAATAGTAATAATAGAAAAAAATCATTTTTGATAAAAAAAATACAATTAAAATGTTTGTCATTCCAATTAAAATAATTTTAAAATTACAAAACATTACAATTGAATTGGATGATGAGGGCCCTTTGATTTATAAGTAATGATCAAGGGAATGAAATTGGGGGACGACAAGTGAAGCCGGGGGATATAAAATCAATTTTATATCCCCTGCTTCACTTGTCGTCTTGATTTTATATCCCCTGCTTCACTTGTCGTCCCCTGATCATTACTCTTGATTTATGGGTTGGTCCCCCTATTTGGTATCGTTGAGAAAAATGGGATGGCAGCAATATCAAAGCCTTTAATAATATAGTAAATGAGACATCTGAACAAACAACTAATTGGGAAATATGACAATGAACTCGAATCAGTATGTTATGGATGTTATATGCATTAAAATATTATATTGTAGATTTATTAGATTTTTATTCTCACTTTTAACTCCAGCTCTATCCATTAAATTTCAACATTCAAGATGCAAATAATGATACAAATGTAAATATATATATATATATATTTTGCATTAGTTTTATGCAAACCAAAAGAGCTGTCGTATATAATTTTAACTATTCTTAAACTCCTTTAGCCTATGTTTGGATAAAAATTAGTAAAGGAAAGAAAGGAGAGGAGAGGGAAAGGAAAGGAAAGAGAAATGAAAGGAAGGAAAAGATTGATATTGTTTTATTTGGATAGATAAAAATAAAGGAGAGGAAAGGATAATATATATTTTTACTTAATTAAATAATTTAACAAAAAATAAAATAAAAAAGAATAACATTTTTAAAAATTATTAATTAGATAAAAATTAAAATAAAATGTTTATATATGTATCTATTTTTTAAAAAATAAAAACAAAAATAAATTAAATAATGTAATCTGTTATAATCTCTTCAAATTAAAAAGATTAAAAATATAAGAGAGGAAATGATTCCGTTTCCCTTCATTTCTCTTTCCTCCATTAAAATTATTTATCCAAACAAAAAAAAAAAATACCTTCTCTCCCTCACTCTCCTCTCCTTCTTTTTTAACTTTCCTCAATCCAACCAAACAAAGTGTATTAGAGTGTTATTTGGACTTTCAACTTAACCTGCAATGCATGGATTAAAAATTAAAACATAATAATACAATTTAATTTTATACTGTATATGACTTGAATGTAACCACACACTGCATAAGTCAGATTATATGTTTTTTAATGGGTCCCTTATAAGTCCATTTTGCATGGCGGAGTCGTCCTGCTTGTAGAAAGCAGCGAAAGAGCGAAAGGGACAGCAAGTGGAAGGAGGAGGAATTTTTGCAAATTACATTTTACCTACGCTCTATAAAGTGCGGGCTGAGCCAGCGCCCCTCAGCCCACAGGCATCCTTCTTCCTCATTAGTTGAGCTCAAATCAGTCTATGATGACGAAAGGGCAAAACGTGGTTGCCTCTATCACTCTTCGTCACTCATACCTCAAAAAACTTGTCTTTCCAAAAGCGGTAATGCAGACACATCGTCATCTTTTGCCCCCGACCTTACAGGGGCATAGTCAACAAGCTGGTGCGACATTGAAGAGTGGAAATCAAGAGTTCTCAGTCACCTTCTCACTCGGACGAAGTAATGATCGTCTCGTTCTCCTGGAAACCGGCTGGAAAGACGTTGTTGACCAGCTTGGTTTGAAGGAAGGTGACGGGGTGACCATTTCTTTGGACGATAGAGCAAGTTCCACTTATTTGATTAAATTGATCGAAACAGTTTTAGCACCAGTTGAGGGGCCTCAGGCGGAAGAGGGCGACATCTACCAAGGAGGGGATGATGCTCATGCAAAAGTTGTGAAATTTGACCTGAATAAATTACCGGAGGAATCTGATGAAGAGGAGATAAATTAAAGTAATTAAGTGGGTTCACACTTACTAATAATAACATGTAATAGATGTTGTAGTTGTTTCATTTTGTTTCTTATATCCCTTTCAATAATATTTCATTTTGGCTGATCTAAAAGGGTCGGTGGCATGTTTCATTTTTCTTTGTTCAACTTTTCCGCAATGATGAGTACTTTTATGATCCGATGAGTTTGGATTCCTGAACTTTTTATTTTTCTGTTTGTCAATTATCAGTAATTAGTAATATTTTCCAGTAAAAAAAGAAAAAAAAGAGAAAAAAGGAGGAGAGTAAGTAATAATATGTTACGGCCGGGCGAGAATGAAGAGTGATTTTTATTCAATCGAAATGGGGGCTAGATGAAAAAAGGGGTACATTTTGTTTTTTCTTTTGTGACACAATGGTTTTAGACAATGCGCTTTTGCTATCTACATGTTCTTGCCTCTTTCTTCCTTCCTTTTTTTTTT